GATTGTTTTCCTTTATCTCTTTAAGCAATTTCAACAAAGTAGATTGCTTTGTACTCTCAAAATAAGTTTTATTGCCAAGCTGAGTTCTTCAAGAACAGGGGATGTTCCACAGCTGACTCTTTTTACCTAATGAGCAGATCTTACATTTCAATTCTGAAAAACTTCATGGTTTAGGAGAGCTGAAATACGCCTTTCAGAAACATGGCCTTTTTTGCATAAAATTAACAGCAATTTTCCTCATGCAACATTAAATTTCATCCATGAGATTCTGTAGAGACTCAGCCAGGTCTAAAAGAGCTCAGCCTTTTTAAGATATACTTTACAGACTGTTTCATTGAGCATAAACATTCACTTAATGTGATCAAACAGGAAAAAAAAAAAACCACGTTTTTTAGAATGTAGGCCATGAAGGCAAGCTTTATTTTGCCATATCATTAAGTGCCTCATGTTTTCCTCTATGCATACAGAACGATGTACAATATATTTTCATGATACACGGCATCAAAGAAGCTATTTTTACCAGAGCTTATTTTTCTGCTAAGTTCTAAGCATTTTGCATATTCATATAAATAGCACTGGGTATCTTAACGTTGTCTGAAAATACTAGAGAACACTAACAGAAGATTTACCAGAATGCTCTGTGAGGCCTGAGGCACATTTTGCACTGATGGGACAGCTCAGAATGTTGAAAATTCACCCCTAAATACAGTTCTTCTCTATTCTTGCCCCATTTTGTAATTAACAGTATTTTGATCATGGCAATGCCATTACAACAATGAATGAAGTTTTCTTTTGTAATCCTAGGCACATCTTTCCTAATTCAGTCTTTTGATGTCTTTTGCCTTAGTCTCGTGTTTTGGCTGTGCTGGGATTGAAATAATCCTTCTCCCAAAGCAATCTTTTCCAGGCCCTTTTGTGTCCCTTCTTTCAGATGTATGATGTCAGCATCCCATTAGGCAGAGCTAGGCTGAAACCTGTCCCAGCAGGCTGAAAGCTGTCCCAGGCTCCTGAGCACTTACCTTGGCTGCCACGTGTCCCCGTGCAGCGGTTCCCGTTATGCCATTGGCAGTGTAACCCGTATCTGCTTCTAAGAAAAGTGTCTGCTTCTTTTTGATCAGATACAGAGACAGGAAGCTGCTCTTAGATAAACAGGCAGCAGTTCACACATCTCTTGGTTTTGCTTCCTTTTTTTTTTTTTATTTTCTCTGTCTCCAATTCCTTGTTAATCTATGCTTACCCATGAGAAAAAAGATGATGAACAAAGGATGAAAGCAACCTCAGTAGATATAGGAATAGTTTTAGAGACTTCATAAGAGTTTAATTTAAAATATTGCCTAATTATATGAGGTATATTATACACTCCTTATCTTGGAGACATTATGTTCTGCAGAGAAACCAATCCACAGAAATAAAATGCTGTGTTTTATTTGTTTACTTGTATAAGTTCAAAATATGTTTTTTGTTGCCTGAATGACCTCACCTGCTTTTCCCTACAAACTGAACACAGAATCACATAAGAATCCACCTGAGAAGAGCTCAAAAATGTTTTACAATAACACTAGGAGTTTGTGGAAAAAGAATTAAGTATTTTCAGAATTTATGAGAAGTTTATGAATAGTTAATGAAATGCTGTTAACAAAGGATAACAGCATTTCATGCACTATGACAGGTTACATATCTATGTATTTTTATATAAACTGACTCTGAGGTAGGATGCAGTTTTCAGAGGAGTGATTCTTTTAACATATAATTATATCCAATTATACCAGTGGAAAGTTGTTACATGAGCATAGTTCTCTTCCCTCTCTGTGATCAGAATAATTTATTGTATTTTTTCTTAAATTCTGTTTGGAACAATACGATTCTGCTTTAAGAAAGTGGGTACCATTTCACTTGAAATGTCCATGTGTTGAGTAACACCAAAACTATCCAGTTTGATGATTCAGACGCTAAGGAGAAATGAAAGAACAAATTGAAAAGTTCTGAAATAGGGGCATGCTGACTTCCTTGAGAATACCAGGCAGCTCTATAATATTTAACCACTGTATGCAGAGATTTGGTTCCTTATTTTTCAGTGTGCGACCTTTTCATCCACAGATTTTTACTGATCTGATTCTTACAGGAAGCCTAAACTATGCAATACTTGTGGCCATTCTCAAACTGCTATAAGAGTCCCTTTCTCTTTGGTGAACGGAAGAGCACTTGCTTAGATAAATTTCTAAAATAAATTTCAGTCACACCTTCATTTTCACTGAGACAGAAGTGAAAAATGAATTAGACAAAGACCTGTTTCATCACTTTCCATGTGCTTTTTCCTAACATGGTACCTAGTAAGTGTCCAGTATGATGGTTCTGGTGTTTTGTTGAGCATTCCTATATTTTGCTAAAGAAAAAGCAGTTCTTATAATTATTAGAAATAGAGAAACATAGTTGGAACATTTCTACAGTTCTTTACTGTGATAACAACAGAATTAGAAGATCAAAGGAAGCAAGAGAGGAGATGATGCCTTTTATGCATTCTGAAAGTAAAGCTGCACATTTTAAAATAAGTTCTTAATTGTGTCCATATGCAAAAATGTAATTTCTGATGTAAGCAGCACAATTTTCCAGGGTTTTTGTCAGATGTGGACATAGCCAGTATCTCAGATCAGTCATCCAAGAACAACAGGTGTTATTAGCATTTGATGAGAAAAAACCCCCCAACCTTGAAACAGAAAAGCATTAACAGTGGAAAACAATCTTATCTAGAAAAGAAGCAATGACTAATTCCTCAATAAGTTTATTGGTTAAATTTGAATTTACAAAGGATCCATGAACAAAGCTGTTGTCAGGAAAATTAATCCACAAACATCAGAGGTTTATGTCCAAAAAGGAGACAGAGAAGTCCTGTAACTTTATTTGAATAAAGGGAGATGTCATGGGCATTCCCCATGGGGTCTCTCAAAATTTTTAGGGGACACAGCCTCCTTTCCATCCTAATTTCCTGGGCACATTTCTCTCTCTCTTTCCCCATTGGCTGAGGAACTTGAAAGGTACAGACTTCCTGAAATGTGTAACACTTCCTTCTAATGTATACCCCCCCTCGTTTATCTTTTTCCTTGTGTCTCTGTTTTTTTTCTCTAAATCCAGACATGTAGGACAGTCTTGAGTAACAGTCTGTGTTAATTAGTGGAATTCCTATGGAATTCATGGTTCCCCCCACTGCTTCTTTCACCTCTCCATATCTGGCCCAGAGTTTGTTTGCAAAGATACCTCCTCCTCATTCCTTTCAGTGTAAAGAAAAAAGTGGTTCAACAAAAGGTCAAGATGCAGAAAGGAAGTTGACAGAGTGACACCAAAATTTCCTTTTCCTTCCACCAAAACAGATTATGAGAATGTTTTTCTGTACCAACTGAAAAGGGTGGCACACAGCACATCACAGGATTGCAAATACATGCTTTGGAAACTGACAATTTTAGGATCTTGTGAGTGAATAAGAGACTGAATTTCACAGCTGAAGCCTTTTACATGAAATAAATTGATGCATTAATCAATGAAACAATAAAAATGAATCAGTTAATGATTCATAATGGTTTGCAAACCTTCCAGGTGTGCAAAGCTCTACAGTCTGCTGGAATGAATGCAAAATAGGACCAGGAGCATAATGCTACCTCTGGCACTGACTCACAATACCCCTGAGGAAGTCACTCTGACCATCTGCATGTAATAATGGTATCATATAGCTCATTTGGGTGTGAGCAGGCTCATTAGTTAATGCTCGATATTGCTGTAAAGTGCAAAATGTTTCATGAGTGCTTGGTATTGTTATTTAAAAAGAAATAAACAGGAAACGTCAGTCAGGTAATGTCATCACTGAGACATTAGATCCCTCAATGACAGTGGCAGAGACACAGTGGCAATAAGAGTGACCGAGGCTCGAATAACAGCATTCTTTATGGTCAGAATGCGTGCAAAACCGGGGCTTTTCCACAGCTCTTACACAACTCGGGACTTCAGCCACTGCATCTCCTCACGGCTCATTCCTCTAGGCACATGAAGCATCTCTGTGAAACACTGTGGTCAACAGACAAGAGAGTTCCCCATTACGAATGTTTACACGATAATCAAGCTGATCGCCGATCTCCAGGTTACTTTTCCTGCGAGCCGCAAGCCTGTATGAGCTGGAGTCTGAGGGAACACCCCGGCAATCCTCACGGAAATCTTTGGCGTGCGGCTCAGCACCACCTCGGCTGCTCTCATTTCAACGCGGCTGCCCTACAGCGCACCCCTGAAGGCGTAAACAGGCACGTTCAGCCCATCATCATTTAACCTCAACTTTCAGCATCCCTCTCTGGGCTCCTGCTGACGGAGCTGCGGATCTAACTGGAGCCAACCGGGATTCCCCGGGAAGGGCGCGGCGCTGCCAGCAACCTCCGCGGGCAGAGCCTGTGCGGGCCCGGAGCCGCTCCCAGCATCTGCCCCTGCGGCGACCCAAGATCCTTCTCAGGGCGTTTGGTGGCAGCCTGAGAGCGGCGCAGAACCAGGAAGCTGCGAGGCGCTGGGAGGGCCTGGAAATGAAAGACGCGCTAGGGAACGCCGTTCTTCGCCCGCAACAAGTATCGTGCCTTGCCAGAGGCCCCAAAAAGCAGAGTCAGAGCCCCCGAAAAAGACAGCTTGATTCGGCCCCTAGGCGCGGCCTCTCACGCTGCACGGAACGCCGCTCCCGCCGCGCTCCCACACAAACCCCGCCTCGCCTCACAGCCAGGCGGCTTTCCCACACTCGCGATGGCCCCGCGATAGCTTCACTGGCCGCCCAGTGCCCAACTCCAGCATGGCGACACGCGTCTCATCCGCTTGCCTTGCCCTTTCTCAAGATGGCAGCGGCAGCCTTCAGCCGGGCGGGGCTGCCCGTAAAGGCTGGGAAGCCTGCCCTCCTCCTTTCCCTTGAGCCGGACGGCGGCGCTGGGCGGTGCCGGGCGCTGCCGCCCCGCCCCGGGGCTGGCGGGCGGCGCGGTCACGTGCGCGCGTTGCCGGGCAGAGCGGAGGCGCTGCGGGGACGGGGCGGCCGCGGCGGGAGCGGAGCTGGGCCGGGATGGGCTGCGCGGCTCTGCTCTGGGGCACGATCCTGCTTGCCTGCAGCTGCGGCCCGGGGCCCCCCGGGGTCGGTGCCGCTCCGCTCTTGACGGCCACCTACGTGCTGGACGATGCCAACGGGCTGGGCAGGGAGTTCGACGGGATCGGGGCTGTCAGCGGCGGCGGGGTGAGCGGCTCCGCCGGGGCTGCGGTGCTGGTACCCTCGGCGCGGAGAGGGACACCTAGGCTGGGCATCCCGGCAGTGGGAGCGTGTGCTGGCTTCGGCGGGGCCTGGCCCGGGGGTGTCGCGGAGGGGAGCCCTGAGGACTGGCGGGGTGTGGGGACAGCCCCACGACGGGAGCGGGGCTCGGCAGGGGAGGCCAGGAGGCGCTGAGGGGAGCGGAGCGGGCGGTGGGTCCGGCTGCGGGGAGATGGAGCCGCGCTCCGCTCTGCGCCAGCCCTCCGGCCACCTGCGCCGTGGTGCCCGGGGTGTCCTGGGTGCTGCTGAAGGAGAGCTACGCCGGGTTTTTATGTAGAGGGTCTTAGTAGTCCCTGCCTTTTAAAATGCTGGACGCAGCCGCCCGTCGTCTTTCGTGTGGTCCAGGCAGCAGAGCTGTGAGATTCCCGGAGCTTTCATCCCCTCTTCGACCTGCTGCGATGCTTTCTTTTGGCTCCCCTCTGTGTGCCCTGTGAGCTCCCCTTGCCTTGGCATATGGTGAGCCAAAGCAGGGAGAGTTGAGTAGAGCAGGAGAAATAGTGCTGGGAGGTAGCTGCCTCTTGCTTGTCATAAAGCCGTGTGATCGCTTTGTTTCTCTGTTCTTTGGACTCTGTTTTCAGTAAATTCCAGGTAACTGGAGTACAAGGCAGTTGCAACCTGTGAAACCAGAAAGGCGCAGCTGAAGGTTTAGAAGCAACTTACGTAGGGACTTAGCTGAGTTCCTGGTGCTATAATTATTTTTGTAGGTTTATTAGCTCTGTGAGAGGGCATAGACTGAAAAGCTGGGTGTAGTTAAACGTTTGAAAGTTGTGTTTTGACATTTTCATGTTTTCTTTCATTTTAGGCCACATCTAGACTCCTGGTGAACTACCCAGAGCCTTATCGCTCTGAGATTTTAGACTACCTGTTCAAGGTAAAATTTGTTTCACTGCAATAATAACATTTGATTTTATGCAGAATTTCTTACTGTGTAATATGGGAACTCCTATAGTATATTTTATGCTGCTTGAAATTAGACAAAATCTCATGTTGTAAAACATCTATTTTAGCGCTGATTGTTATCAGAACCTTAAATTTTAGGCGGTGTTTTTGTTCAGGAGGCTGTTCATATTGTTGTAAAAATTCCTTTTGTGTTTTTACAATGTGTTTTGGAATTATGTTTTCAAAAATGTGTTTAGCTATATATTTGATCATCTGTGTGGGCTATAGCATAAGTAGTTTCTGTGGCTAAAATTGGGGGTTTAGCTGTTCATAGTGATTGAAGCAAGGAGGCCTTAGAGACAGTTTGGATTTTTTTGAAGTACAGATAGATTAACATAGCATAAAAATGACTGTGCAGACAGCAGGTTTGTAACAGCATATCTATTCCAAACTTGTCTCAAGTACAACTGCAGTGACTCTAGAAGGTGTAGGAAGTTCATTGGTTTGTAAGCTGTGTTCCTTAGCAAGTGTAACCTGCAGAGTTACCCAACTTAATATATGGTAAGATTATTGCACTGGACATTAATAGCTTGTTTTGCTTTTGGCACTGTAAATTACTCTGCTGGAAGAGGATGTCATGTCACTTTCAAGTAATGCAATCCAGATGGCTGGAGGGGAATAATTTACCATGCGGTTTAAAGAATTAATTTTCAAGGGTAGAGTAAGGTGTAATATGTGCCTGGGGAATCAAAGCTGGTGGGGTTTTTTTTGAGATTAAAGCTGTGTGTTACTAATATGGATGTTCTGATTAAGCATGTGGTAAAAGAAAATGTAAAGAGATCATGATTTTCAAAGAATTTTTGACATACTCTTTTACCAAAACTTCTTAAACTGTCATATTTGGGAGGAGTGTACCTTGCCTCATTCTCCTTGTCTTTTAGTGTAAGTCAGCTTTCATGGATGGGAGAACAAATGTGTTAAAAGTTTAAAACAAAAAAATGTCAAAAAGAGAAATGGTAAATTGGAAATAGTTGCTTTGCTGTTAAAAGCAAACAAAAATCCCAAACTTGTAGGCCAAAAGACATGTCATGTATGCAGCATTTTTAAAAAAATCAAATTGCATTCTTATGTTTAAAACATTTTTTTAGATACCAAAATTATACTTGGGCAATTCCATGGAGGAGGCCAGCTTATTAGTGGGTATTAAAATAATGATGAATTGTAACTTCTGGCTTGAGCAATTCTTAAGCCACTAATGGCTGGAAGAACATATTTGCAGTAGAATCACCTGTATGAGCTTGAATTTATATTTGGCTCTAGCAGTCAGGTGCCAGGGGAAGGGGATAGTGGACTAGCCATTTGTTTTCCAGTGTGGTGGGTTTTTTCTGCTCTTGCCTATCTGTGTGTAGTTTCCAGGTTATTCCTGACCTGTGTGTATTCCCTTTCACATAAGCAGTGTAACACTTTACAAACAAGAATAAAAAATACTAACTTCAATAATTTGATTTAAAAAGAAAACAAGTTTAACCACTAATAACATTAAAGTACTACTGTGTTCCTCATATATTCTGTGTTCTGCTTTAGTAGTGCTTTAGTATTTTCTTGAGCATAAACTATTTAAAATCTGCACAGTTGTGGAGAAGTGTTGTTAATGGTGCAAGAATCAATGAAACTGTTTAAAGATCAGTGTACTATTTATCCTGGAAGATTTTCTTTTGAAAAGCAGAAATTTATGTTATCTCTATACATTTATGGGTGTATGGTATGGGTGCTTAAAAAGGTAAAAAAAATGCATTTTGAGCAAGCTCAAAATTGTACACTGACTTATCTCATTCTTTTTGTTAACAGCAGGATTCTGGTTTTCTGTCTCTTTTTTCCACAGCCAAATTTTGGTGCTTCTTTACATATTCTCAAGGTAGAGATTGGAGGTGATGCACAGTCGACAGGTATGGATTTTGCATGAGCAGCATTTAACTTCTCGTTTCAGTCATGCTGTAAGTAACGTGTGCTGCACATGGGGCTGAGGCATGGAGGTAGCTGAACTGAGTTCCAGTAAGCCATAATGGCTTGTACAAGAGAGATTTACACCAGCATCCTGGAAGCAGTTCTCACATCATATGGTTAATAGGTTGCATTCTAGAGCAAATGCAGATTCCTGTTTTTTCTCCCTTATAGTATGTTTCTGAGTTGTAGAGCATTTCTCACACACAAGTTTTGCAATACCAGATACTTTGTCTTAAAAGCATGAAATACAAAAGCACCTGATCAGAAATAGTTACATTTCTTTGGTTTAATTAGCTGCAGTGTTTCACTAAAGTGGCACTGGCTGGCAGTAGGCAGGATTTTTTTTCTTCCTGGGAAGAGTTGCAAATGAAAATGTCTTGATGTAATTTGCCTAGCCTATCTACTACATTTTTATACAGGAGGAATTATTTAGTAAGTGTTTGTGACCAAAAGCTGAGAAGCAGAGACTACAGCTTGTATTTTTTTTTTAAATGATTTTTTTGGTATTTTTCATAAAGTAAGTCTGGCTACATCAGACACAGTTAATAAATAGAAAGCATAGAATTTGGTTTTGTGGTGTTATGTATATAAATATACATATGTTTGTATATATATACTTGTACGTATATATATATTTTATATATGCACATTTTTTTCTGTGACGTCTGTGTTTTGTATAGTTAGACACTGTTTTTCATTCTTGTGTAAATTAACATGTTGAAAAGTACTGTGCTGGGTTTAAGAACTTGGCAATGAATTGCTGGTGGGGGGAATGGAATCGTCTTCAGGCAGGCACAGGCCTTCTCTTCAAACACTCTTACTGCTGGCTCAGGAGACTGTCACATACTTGTGTGATGGTCCAGTTTTGAAAAGTAGAACAAAAAGATGCATATATTTCAGTGCACTAGACTGCAGCTCTTCTTCTGGCCTGAGAGGTGTGATCAGGAGTTCATTTGAAATGTGATATGAGGCCTAAATTTGGAATCTAATTGTTCTTTGTCCCTGACAAACTTATATATAGCCAAGTGTTAGTAAGGTAAAAAAATCAATCCTGTGTTCTGTGATGAAATGTGCTGTTTCAGCAGGCTTCATTTAAAACAAAGTTTCATTAGAAGAGTTCTCTGCGTACAATTTAACATCAGTTGCATAATTGTTGCAGTCATGTAGACAAGTTTTTACTTGACTTTGGTGTGTAATGATTTCCCATGCAACACTGATTCTTTTGCACCTTTCTAGTTCGTTTACCTTTGCCCGAGGAAATTCAGCACATAGCATTAAATTCCAAAACCTTTTTCTGCAGTGACATAACACCATGAAAATTATAAACTAGATCTTTTGCTATAAAAATAAAAAACCCTACAGCCTCTTTTTTGTAATTGAAAAAATTCATGATAGCTCCTGTCTTTTCTCTCCCTGGATTTACCTTGTGCAGAAGAAACAAACTATAACCTTCTTTTGTTTGTTTTTTGGTTTAGAGATAACTTGCTTGTATAATGATTTTTTTTCCTCTTAATCTTAATGCTGTAACATTCCTAGTGGTTGTTAGTATTAAGATATGATACAATAGCAAATATAGATTTAGTGTTATCATAGCTAGGGATAGAAAATGCCTAATACTTAACCACATCTGATGTTAAAAGCAGGCAAAAAACCTCCAAAATAAAAGTATTAAAATTATGCTAAGTTAATGTGCTTAAACAAAGGGTAGCAAATCTTGCATTTACCTCCCACTATTCCTTTGGCTTTGAAGTACACACCAAGAAACTTGTGAACCGTGTTGGAGATATGTGCTTGCATGCTATGTTAATGAGCAATGCAGCAAACTTTATGATGTGTAACAGCTTATGACACAGAGGATAATTGTGAGCTACCTGTCTCTTTCCTTCCCAGATGGTACTGAACCCTCCCATATGCACTATGAAAATGATGAGAACTACTTCCGGGGCTATGAATGGTGGCTGATGAAAGAAGCTAAAAAGAGGAACCCCAACATTAAACTGATTGGTATATTGCTTTGAGCTTTTAGATTTAAATGCCTTTTTATTGCCCTGACTAAATTACCTATCTGACCCTTAGTTAACATTTTAATGGAGAGATGTTTTGATGTTGTAGTAAACAAAGTAGAATCTCTAATATTTGTTAAGCTTTTCTTGATGCTTACGATGTTTTACCTTGTTACAGCAGCACAACATCCTGACAAGAAGCATAAGACAACAAATCTCTCATAATTTGCTTGTATTAAGTAACTAATGCTTTTAGTGTATTGCAGCAATGAACATGATTGATTTATCATGACGGATGAATTTCTGAATAATTGAGCAAAAATAATCGGGAGGGAAAAAGTTACTGCAAGCATAAATATGTAAATCTTACACACACTGCATTTGATTAAATGTTCTTATTACAAACCAATCACACACCTCTTCTTCACTGTAGTGATTCTGATCTTCAGATGTGTCCTACATGTGTAGTTGAGTTGTAAGAGGAGTTTCCTCTCTTCCTGTTTTGATTGTAAGTTATGTGTGTGCTGTGACAATACAAATGTGGAACCCTAGGTTGTATTTTTGTATTTTGGATATACAAATGTATTTCACATGAAAGAAGGTAAGAAGTCTGTTGGTTAAAAGGTGTCTTAATTCCCTCACCTTCCAGGAGGCTTTACCATATCCAGCCATGAAACAAGGCTTAGTGCAGGATTTGCCATTCAGGTTCTGTTAAGCCAACTATTTATGACTAATTGACTTATTAATAATATCCCTCTTCCCTCACATCAAACTCTCAATAAAGGAAGGAGGGTTTACTTTTAAATTAGCCTATGGTATCTTACACAAGTTGGCTGGATGCTTAGCAGCATCTGGTTAGATTAATTTGTTTTTCTTATTTACTACAACATCCAGTGAACAGCTGAGACATGGAAATGCTTTTTCATGATCCTAATCTTCCTTCTTCGTTATGATCAGATCATCGTGTCTTTTTAAATTCGTGTTCAGGCCATAAACAATTTTTTATGTTCTGTATTGACCCTTTGTCTTTAGCTTTGTAAATTTTTATCCTAAAATCTTTGGATTTTTAAACTAATTAGAGCTAGTACCATGACACGGACAAATGATATGTAATCAGTTGTTCTCTAGTAACGAATGCTTCCTAGCTCATAAAAAACCCCCAGCTATTAATTGCGTGATCATTGTTTGTATTAGACCATACTCTGCAGTTGGAGAAGTTGCATTTCATTGTCTTCACTGGAACCAAGCCAGTTTCAAGTGCATATTTGTTCCTTCATTTCAGGTAGAGCAAATTGCAACTTGCTCTTTAAGCCTATTGAGTAATGTAAACCAACCACTTACCTTATTCGTTTGTTTTCTTCTGTCTTTCCAGGGTTACCTTGGGCATTTCCAGGATGGATAGGGAAGGGTGAAAATTGGCCCTATGACTATCCAGATATCACTGCTTACTATATTGTTTCTTGGATATTAGGAGCAAAACAGTATCATGATTTGGACATTGATTATATTGGGGTCAGTAAAGCAAAATCTCCTGTATATTTTATGTATATTTTATCTATCTTCACTTCTAAAATCTTGGTCTTGCCTCTCATTGTTGATGACTGGAGGAGGAGGAGGATGGCAAGAGAAATTTTTTTTGTAATCGCAGTTTTGGCTTGTACTGTTGCCAGGGGAAAGGCAGTAGTTGTGTTAGTTTGCAGTTTTCCTGGGATGATGGCTGTTAAAGCAGAAAAAGTGTCAAATGGTTCCTACCTTCCCAGTTCTAAACTACTTACCAAATAATTTGAGAGTTCTTTTTCCTTTTCTGCTTTGTTCTGCTTGCCTTTCAGCAGTTACCAGATAACAAAAAGCATCAGTTAATGCAGTTTGAAAGTCAGCTAACATGACTTAGCATAAAGTGTGGTTGTTATTTAGCAGAGGAGCAGTCCTTTACAACCTTTTGCATTTTTACCTGAATCATTTATAGTAGATAAAAGTTCATGTTTTGCAGTACAACTATTGTGTTTTCCTATAGTGCAATTTATGGAAGTAGTGAATGAATGTCTGAGAAAAAATGTCATAAATTGGAGATGAGAGAGAGAAGCAGAAAATCTGAAAAAACCTTTCAAGTTCACTATTTGAGCAAGAAAGTGTGTTTAAAATTCGTCTAAAATCAATCCTACACTTACTGGACACTTGTTTTGGAGTCTTAAATGTTTTGATATGAGAAGTTTAACTGCAGAAAAGCTGAAAATTACTTCAGCAGAACAAAGCTTCTAAAACTGGTTCCCATCCTTTAGAAGTCTGATGTTTCTGCTGCAATGTGGGAAAGTGTACCTCAGTATCTCATATGTATCTTCTCTCCAGGAGAATGCATCCCCCTTGATGTTACTGGCTTATTTCACTTGGGTCAGTCTTGCACTGTGGGTAACATAGTGATACTTCAGCAAATCAGTTGTGGGGAGGGGAGGAATAATAGCTGTTACATTTTTCTCTGTCCTACGTTCTTGGAGAAGAATCAAGGTCTGCACTTCATGTATTTGAGTAATATTGAATTCAGTGTTGTTACTTCACAGTAATTAGCCTTCTAAATTCTCTCCTTCTAAGAAAGGGTAATTTTTGCTTTTCCAGGCAATGTGATGATATTGTATATTGTCTCATTTCTTTGTGGGTATAATCTGCAACACATGGAAACAGTGAGAGGTCTGTGAACGCTCAGAAACTGTCAAAACAATTTCAGTGCTATTATAGTTGTACATAGTTAGTCTTTACCACTCTTTTTGCTGTAAGTACATGTTCTGTATCACTGTTTGCTTTATGATGAGATGAGCCTTTCAGTAAGTAATGATTTGATTGGCTCATTTCTGAAGTTTCATGTTAGCATTTATAGGAAGATGTAGAAATATAAAAATGAGTTGTATTTACCCATAAGCTAAACCTTTATTGGTGAATGTGAGTCACAGTGTTCATGTTGTGGTTAGAAAAGAAAGAGACAAGGTGTCTGCCTATGTGTATTGTAAGCCAGAGGGTTCTTTGAAAGGAAGATCAGTACTCCTGCTTTTGAATTTTGAGCTGTTTAGCTTAAACTCTCTTTCCATAAAAGATGGAAAATTTAGAAATTAGCTCATTTTGTGTCTGTTTACTTAAAATATGCGGGATCTCTCTTGTGTTCAAGCATGGATGTAGTCCTGTGTAAATTAGAAAGAACAGTAAGCTTCATCAATTTTGTTCAATATGTTAGTTTTTCTGGCTCTCCTATGTCCATGCATTGCAACAGGGGCCCATTCATTAGGCCACACCTTGAAGCCACAACATGTTTCTCAATGATTCCTAGCAAACTGTAGAGCCATTGGTAATGTAACACTGCGGCCATTGTAGAGCTCAAGCAGCTCTGGCGTTCTTGTCAGCGAGAAGGCAATCAGCAGACCTTAGAGAAAGATAAACAAGCGCCCACTAGGAATTTCATACAGAATTTTCCCCAGAAAAGCTGATAACAAAATCAACCAGCACTTCCCTCTAACACACGGAAACCATGGAGTTGATTAATGGATTCTATAATCTTACATATATATAAATAAAATCTTTTAATTCTCCATTGACGTATCCTGGTTTTTCTAAATGGATTTTACTTTCTCTTTATAGATATGGAATGAAAGGGCATTTAGTAGCAAATACATTAAGGTATGTATTCTTTTCTTATTTCTATAAAGTGCTTGTTGTACTGTACACAAACAATTAGCTTTTCTGAATTTGTGTAGGAAAGGGACCTTAATTCTGCAACTATATCACTTATTGAACTCTATTTCTTGTAGTTGCATTCATGGAAAGATAACATGTTCAGATATCTAGATTGTTTATTTTGTGTGTCTGAAACTGTTACTTTGAACTTTGGGCATGCCAGTGTATGCTAAATGTTAGGACTTCTAAATTTTTATGGAAGCTTCAGTTGATTCTTCTATCATACAAACTTAAATCATCTTTATACTAGCTTGGCTATAGCTAGAAGTCCAAGATCTAGAATTGCTTAAAATTCTGTAGCTAAGTTCTGTGATTACAGTACCCTTAAATATTGCTATTAAATCACAGTAAAGGTTTGGTGTTTTTCACTTTGCAAAATTCAGTACCTTTTGTTCTAAAAAGCTGGAAGAACACAGTATTTCACATAACCAACCTTAAGATAGCTGTAATATTTCTCAGTACTGAATGCTCCTGCAGCATCCCCTGCCCTGCTTTGAAAACTCTCTTCTGTTTGTTACATTTTCTTGCAGTGAAAGCTTAAGCACAAGCTCCTGCTTTGTTCCTTTCCTTGTTCTTGCTTGAAACTAAGACACAATGGCATTACCTCTTCTTAAAAGCAAACAAGACTCAGAGAATCGTAGAATGGCTTGAGTTGCAAGGGACCTTAAAGATCATCCAGTTCCAATCCTCCTGCCATGGTCAGAGATAGCTTCCACTAGACCATGTTGCTCAAAACCTCATCCAGCCTAGCCTTGAACAAATCCAGGGATGGGGCCATACATTCCCCCTTGTCCTGTCACTACATGCTTTTGCAAAAAGTCCCTCTCCATATTTTCTTGTGGGCTTTCTTAAGGTACTGGAAGGCAGCAATTAGGTCACCCCAAAACCTCTTCTTTGGGCTGAACAATCTCAAATCTGTGTCATGTCACCTTGAGGCTTTCTTATCTGCTTGTCTTGGCTTGCTCATGTGGGGAGAAAGAATATGGAGAACAAACTGTTGAGTCTGGGGCAACATTCTACTTTGTAGCTTTTTGAATACTGTTGAATTGGGACCGAGCATTTGGCTTCTAGAACTGAATATTTAGTTTAAAATTTGACCATAAAATCACCCAAGTATTTACTGAAAGGTTTTTGGCCTTCCTTCCACTCTGTGTTAGCTGATAAGAGGTTTTTTGTTAAACACCTATTTTACCATTCATACTCTTACAATGTCATTTGGCACCACTTCTCTCATCAGCACTACAGTTCTGTTTGCAGTCTGCCATTTCACAAGAGGGCAATACACTGAAATGTACTGCTGCACACCAAACATTTTCTGTAATTCCTGTTAAATACAGCACAGATAAGCTCTTAGTTATCTAGCTAAATTTTTACTTGTAAGATGATATTCTAGATACTTCATCGTCTAAGGCAATAGCTACGTTTCTTAATAAGTAGGAAAAAAAAAAAGAAAGAAGTGGAGATTCTAATGCTTCTAACTTCTTGTTCAAGAAAACCCTGTTCTTTCAGTTACATGAGCACCTCCCTGTGTGTGAGGGAGCTGTTCTGCAAGTGTGGAATGTGTTTTGGGTGCATGCAGTTCTGTGCCCTTGGTACTTCTCTTTCAGCATGGAAATTCTGAAATCGTTCATTTTGTTCTTCTGAGCTCTCTCTGTGGTTAGCCAAATTTTCTGAGTGTCTAGGTAGCTAGAATACTTTAAATTGCAAGGACCTTCTAGTATTATGAATTTTTCTTTTGATAGATCATTGATCATTGCTACTTTTCTTCTTTGTAAGCTTTATGTCTTAATTAGTTTTAGATAGAGGCTTTGATTGTCATCAACACTTAGACTTTTATTTCTGTCCTTATTTGACTACATGAAAAAGAGAAATACTCCCTATTCTTCTTCACATTGCCAGGGGGCAAGAAATAATTTGAGGGTTCATGCCTACTGATCTTTGAATCAAGTTGCAAAAATCTTTTTTATGCATGCATGCACACAGTGCATCATTCTTTTACATCTAAATTTGAAAAAAGCATTTTAGACTGTGGACTGGGATTTTTTTTCAGATGCAGCTGTATGTGCAAGCTGCTGAAATATATTTTATTTTCTTTTTTAATTTCTGGTTTGAGTTTTCAGATAGTATCAGCCCTCTAGAAGTGTGGTTCATTCTTAACTATTAAGGCTGAGTATATTTTGTGTGGGTATATTTTACCTAAGAAGTTCCACAGACAAATGTGAGCTGTTTGTCATCTTTAACAGTGAAATAGTAAAGAGAAGCTGGAAAGACAGAATAGGAATTCTTTTCTGCTGGCATGTTTGAATTCAAAGTGGGTTGCCCTTAGTTTTGTTGTAAATATGTAATTCTAGGTTTATTCATTGCTTTCCCTGGAAGTTAGTGAAACATGAGAACCAAGCAGTGGGTAAACTTAAATATTAAACACTTAAAACATCAAGGATTTTTTTTTGTTCACTAAAATGGGCAGTGAAAAAAATGTTTAGGTGCTCTTCACTTGAACGAGACAGGTGCTTGGCAGAGATTTCTCTTCTTGTAGAGAACTGCATGGATAGGTCTTTTCTAGTTTAAAACTTCAATCCCTGTTTTTTCAATGTACTTTTTTGGGGATCAGGTTAACTTTTGCTTCTGATGACTTGGGGAGGAATGTCCACTTCCACATTTCAGCCAGCTGTCATTGTTAGATTAGTTTAGCATGACTGACTTGATGATAAATCCATTACTTTTGTGTAATGAATTACATACATGCTAGGGAGTCAGTATGTTGAGAGTGTCCAAGTGGAGTATATGTGTGCACTTGTGGTGTCAAAAGTTATCCAAGTGATGAGAAGCCCATTTTTGGGTAATGACCATCTCAATATCAGTGGTAACCCTTCAGTTTTAAAAATATTTACCATTAACTTCGTCTTAGTTGCCACCATAGCTCTTGTTTGAGAAGTGAGAAATTTTCTTATCCGTCCCGGTCTGTAAATAGAGGCTTCCACTGACTCCTTCCAAAGTTCTTAAGTTCTCAGTCTTATATTTCATGTTGCCTCATTGATGAAGGCTGTACTTTAAGTGGTGTTGTCTGTTACTAAGGTGCTTCGACATTCTTTGGACAGACTGGGTCTATGGAACATTGGCATCATCGCTGCGGATGGAGATTGGAACATCTCAAATGAGATGATAGTTGATCCCTATCTTAATGATGCTATTGAGGTAGTCGGGTAAGTGTGGGAGAAGGGAGGCCTTTTAAACATTGCTTCCTATCTGTAAGTCTTCCTTTCCATTTTCAAGAGTCATATATTCTTATTTCATACTTCCTAGCTGTTTCCATTTTTTCCATCATTGTGTACAGTGGTGCTGGATTAGTCTTTCTTGTCTTTCTCGCTTCTTTCAGTTTAGTACATCTGTAAGCTGACTTTATCATTCTTCTATCATTTCTTTCAAGTGCCCATTTAGGAGCTGTGTTTTAGGCTTCTTAGCACTAGCAAATGACAGGAAACTTCTAACTAATCTGCATGTGCATGTTCCAAGTCAGAAAAAACCTTAGGATTGGATTCTTGGTCTGCAACTGGTTTTCATTTTGGGTGAACTTGAGCTTTCAGAGTGGAACTTACCACCCTGGGACTTCCTGTGGCTGCAGCTGAGATTTTTCTGGTCATATACTAGAGCTAGAAGTTTCTGTTTCTTGGTTAATTTCTGATAACAGATAAAATTAGAAATGCATGCACTGACAGTAACTTAGAAGTAAAAACAAGGACCAGAAGTTTGTAAACTAATACATCCTATGTCAATTTTTTCTGCTGGTGTTTCAGCAAATGTCAACTCAACTGTTTGCCTTTGCTCTTTTTCCATAATACACTTTTTTACTTGCTTCTGGCAACTCTGCTGCTCTTGCTCTCTTTGTTAATTCTGGTTTCTCAAAATTATTCATCATTTTTACAAAATTACATTTTCCCAGTGGAAATTACCTATGCAGATACAAATTGCTCACTTGTGCTACATTTGTTAACTTGTTTATATCTGTTGTTAACTTTACTGTGATAAGAGCATTCTTGTGGTCACTCATGTACCATTTATCCTGTATGTAAGGAAGTATGATATGCTCATCATGGTTTAAGTGGTTGAAGGGTTATAGCAAGTCAGTTAAGCGGGATTTTATAAAGAAACTGCTTTCGTATGTGTTGAGTTTGTAAACATCAATCATAATGGTCTAAAATAAACTTAAAAAAACTTTCTCAGGTTAGGCAAGACTTGCAGCTCAGCAGGTGCATTAGGAAATGTTTTAGTAATGATTTCTATGACAATACAGCTAGAAGAATGAATGCACTGAAATGCATTGACTCTGTAAGGCTCTTTTTTCTTTAACAGCTTGGCAGAATCAAGGATAGGAGTACTTGTTTTTGTTTGTGCCCTTAGAACCATAGGCATGTTTTGGTTGTTCTTTAAAATGGGAGTTCTTTTTGTCAGAGGTTTTTCTTGAATGTCATACAGATTTTTCCCCACATCCCCCACCATCACTGATCACAAAAAATGAAGTGTTAGGTTTTCCTGTGCCATGGTTTTGTTATCTATCAAGAAATTAAGGTTAGTACAAAACAATAATGTTTCTCAACCAATACTGACTTTAAGGTACTATCATAGAGAGTTCTTGCTGAAATAGTGAAAGATAATTGCTCAGGTTCAGAAAGTTCATACACAATCATGTAGTTTACCCATCAGCACTGTACCAGCTGATCTGCAAATAGAGTGTCTTGCATGAAATGCTTTATCTGTACCTTTGTGTCTGTAAGGAGAACAAAACACTTGTAATTTTTCCTTTTATCATGTATTTTGGAATTCAGGGAAGAAGGTGTCCTTTGAAGTCACTTTGTGCTTGACAGTCTTGTATGTTTTGTTTGGTGTAACAGTTGTCCAAGTTGCAAAAACGTGAATTGAAGCATAATAGTTTTTTCAGCTAGTGCTGGAGAAGATTCTGCCTTTCCCAATATTAAATTTTGACAATTTGAAAAACATTTTTTTTAATTTTTCCCTTCTGTCTGTTCTTTACTCTCCTTTTTTTTTCCAAGCTGTTGAGGTACACATTGGATAAGCATGGTCTGGAGCAGGTGAGGATCATAGCCAGCGATAGACTGTGGGAGCCCATTTCCTTTGTCATGATGATTGACTCTGAGCTCCACGGAGTGGTCGATGTCATTGGGTAGGGGGTTCTCTCGCTTCTTCTTTCTTGGTGGTTTGTTTATCGTTTGTCTTCATCTTATTTATAACTAACACAGACAAAGCTTTAGCTCTCTGTACTCTTACCTGCAAGGAAAGGATTGATACTATAAAACTTTCTTACTAACCAAATCAAATCATGCGGCTCTTGTCCCAGTAACAGCCTCAGCCTTTAATTGAATCAGGAGTCTTCTATCATGCTGAAGACTCCTGTTGAGCATGGTTGGACTTTTGATGGATTGAAGGTTTTTTTGGACAACACTTTGTCCTAAGGATTTTGGTTACTCTTAACTGGTATGCAAAAAGTGCTTTAGCTTTACAGCTTAGTACATGGCCTTGTAATTTCCACTGGCTTGTTACTGAAATTTTGTGATCCAGAAATGAATTTGGGTTGTGATTCTTCTTTGAGTTACAATGGCTTGATTCTTAGTTCCCATTTTGTTTTAATGACAAATTTGTGTTTGGAAAACATGGAACCAGCTGACTTGTTATCCTAGCTCTGGGTTTTGTCATAATAATATTTTATTAGTAGAATAAGTTTGAGATTGATTACTGACTTGATGGCTAAATGGAAACGTGTGTACGAAATGTTCATTAACTTTTCTTTTTACAGTAGCTCTAAACTTTACTAGGTCCCATAAACTTGCCTGACCCAGTCACGTTTCAAATTTGTCAGTTCCTTGCTTCAATTTGAGTTTTCCATTCATCTTGATATATGTGAACTATAGGAGGTATAGAATGAAGGCTTTTTCTGCAAATACATACAGGAAGGCAGAGTCATCTACCCTTGCTATTAACCTCTCCCCCCATTCTGAACATGAAGAGTATCCTGGCAGTTTTTTATAGGTGGAGTCTTGGATCACGTCTGGATGAAGCTCAACAGTTTTTACACTGTCTAAGTAAGGTGTATTTGCGTAACTCTATAAGTGTAAGTTTTACATCCCTACTCTGATTCAGTCTTAACAGGGAAATTTAATATCTCTTGTATATTTCAGCTTTTATTGGGTAGGGGTATTGACACTTAAGAAACACCTTTTCAGGAGTGTAGAGAGACAAATTATTCCTTCTCTGCTTTGTTTTTGCAAGCTGTGCACTTTATGCCATTACAAAAACCTTTTGCTTGGTACTAAAGCAATACTTAGGCTTCCAAGCCAATCTCTACAGCAGAGCAGAATGTAGCTGAAATCCCTACTATCTGTTACATTACTGTTAGTGAGGCTACATGAAGGACTAAAACACTGGGAAGTAGGTCATTGTCCACTAGAGGGAAAATAATGAAAGAATCCCAAACAGTCAGCCTAGAAAAACTGGTGTTTTTTGTAGTCCTGCCACAAATGTATCAATTTGTCAAGTTGCAGGGTAATAGTTAAGGAAATAGTTTTATTTTAGTGTATATATTAAGTGTGTTCAATGAATGTGCTAAGTGCTGAGGAAAATCACAACCCTATTTTCTGCAAGTGGTTTGAAAGGTTTTGTTTCAGTCAGCAAACCTTGCACGGTGGGTCAGTGTTGTGACTCAGTATAAAGTCTCCATTGGGAGAAAGAATGTCTCCTTATACTAAAGAAGATCTTGAAAAGAAAATTAGCTATCTTTATATGGTTCAACTATTATCAGTTTGTACCTTGTAACTTCTCGAGTCCAACTAGCATGTTTTTTTAAAACTTGAGTTTATTAAAAAAGATATACAAAATCAGTCAAGTTCATGTTTAGTTTTAAGACATTCATGCAGCTAAATTCTTAGCATAATGCCTACTGCTGTATCTTGCTGTTGGTTTTACATTATTTATACTTTTGTTTAAGATAGTATGTGTTAGCATGTATTTTCTCTATTCAGCACATTATGGTAATGACCACCTTCAAGCTCAATTTCAGGACAGAATTTGCTTTAGCAAGCTGTGAAAATTGCATGGTATCTGTAAATCTAAGTTTATCTAAATGCTATCATGTAGCAGAAGAAATAATCTGCTGATATAAATACAATAAGCTCTGGAATGCTGCAGCTCCCCCTTGTTCAATTTTCTTGTATTCCGCTTGTATTCCAAAGAAACTTTATCTTTCATTTTCAGTTTGAAGGAAGTGAATCATTGCTGCTATATGTACTTCCAAACTTTATTTTCTCCTTGTACTAAGTGCTCTTTCTTTTCAAAATATTGTGTAGAGCTCATTATCCTGGGACAAAAACAGTGAAAAATGCCATATTAACTGGGAAGAAACTGTGGTCATCAGAAGATTACAGTACTTTCAATAATGACGTTGGTGCAGGCTGCTGGGCTCGGATCCTGAACCAAAACTATGTGAATGGAAACATGACCTCGTAAGTGTTGGGCACTGTTGCTTACTTCACAACTTGGGATGTAAGAATAATTTAAAGTGCTGTATAACACATCCATCTGCTTTGATAAGACAACAGGTAAACTGAAAGTTTACCCTAATGTGGTCTGAATTCAAATATTATACGATAGGAAGTCTGCTGTTCTGACCTCTTTCTGGAGTAGAGGTCCCAGAAGTTGCAAAGTAGTCTTATTCCCCAGCACTTGATGGGATTATGCAGTTTATGCAGTGGCTTTATGCAGTTAATTTCAGATGCCTTTGAGAATGATGATAATTATTGAAAAGAGAATGTTCTTAAGAAGAGCTAACATTGGAGTAAAATAACAATAAAACCAATTTATCATATTTCTCTTAAGGTCTTTGTCAGCTTGTGTCTTCAGTTAAACAGATAATTACAGATGTAATTATCTAGTTTTTCCATACAACTTCTTTCTCAGAATCCATTCTTAAACGTGCATGATAAATTTACTGTTTTCTGCACATTTTCTTTCCAAACTGAAAACGGTAAGAAAAATATTATTTTTACTGGGAAATTACATAACTCAGGTTTAGAAAAGAATAGAAAATAAAGTTTGATGTTTCTGGTGCAACAACTGGTAATCTGAAAGAAAAAGTTTGATTAAAGAAAATGTAGATGTCAAGATGTAAGCAAAGTTGTTCAAAGATTTTAGATGCTTTGTAACTTTATTTTGGAAAAATAAAGAGAAATATTCTTGTCTCTTGCTTCAAGTGGACTGGACTTGGCAGAAAAAAAATCACTGATATTGTAAAAGGGAATTTCTTTAGTTACCTGATTTCTAAAAATCTTCTATCTTTTCTGCAAGATGAAATTTTCAAACAGATGAGTATTTCCTGAATAAATTCCTGATCATTCTGCTTGCTTCTTAATCCTCATACATTTAATATCTTAATTCGGAGTCTTTCTTTTCCCATTGTTTTCCAAGCTCTTTCAAATTATATATGCCCCATTTCTTTTACAGCCTAACAGCAAGGAATATGTGTTGTATTTTGTAGAATAGTTCTAAGTCCAGATGTCCAACAGTGAAGTTATCTTAGCTTCTACACTGAAAACAAAATCTTTCTGACAAAAGGCAGCTTATCTTTCGGCTAAGTTTGTTTCCTTTGAAGTTGTTTCCTACTTTTCTTTCTAAGTTTGAAATCAACAGAACAGGTTTGATGTGAGCAAGTTGAATTTACAATTCAACAGTTATTTATTTTATAATCACGTTTTTGTAGAATTCCAGGATCTCTTTTGTATGTATGTATAGAGTGATAAGTCTGTGGCAGTGACTTTAGAATGAGGCCTTTGTATGCACCTGTATGCAATAGCAAAACAGATTGACAGCTTTTGCCCTTTGCGTAACTGCTCTGTTAAGCTGTATTGCCATACTTAAGACCCAGAGATCTTTAAGTTTCAAGTATTTGCAAAGCACTTTTAGTGAAGCCCATATCAAAGCAGGTGAAGTTATTATCCTCGTCAGGATAGAGCAAACAACTCCTTGAGGCTGGCTGGTTGGTTAAAGTTGTTTTCTGTTTGTTACTTATATGGATAAAGATTTTTTTTTTGTGGTACTTAACTGCTACCCTAAAAAAACTCCACCCAAAACAACTACCACCATGCACAGAAATAACCAAGCAATCACAAAAACCTCAATGAAATAACATTCAGCAAAAAGCTGCAGAATTTGGTAGCAAAATTTTTTCCCTTCATAACAGGAAAAAAACCTCAAACAAATGGAGTCTTTACCCTCAATACATGCTTCTTTTAATATAAAACTTTTTGTGGTGCTCTAGCCAGAGAATTTACCACCAGTTTTGGAAGAAGTTCTCAACACTGATTTACTTTATTTTCCTCTCCTGTGGGTTTTCTTTTTCATTTTAGCTGGAAAGATATTCCCTCCATCCCCAAATTATTTTCATTGGATGCTGGATAAAAAGGAGGAATTGATTCTTGTACTAAGTTAATCTAATACTACCCATATGAATGGAGAAAACACCTGTTTTTCTTCCAGAACAATTGCATGGAACTTGGTGGCTAGTTATTATGAGGAGCTGCCCTTTGGTAGATGTGGATTAATGACAGCACAGGAGCCATGGAGTGGCCACTATAAAGTTGAATCTCCTATCTGGATTACAGGTAAAAATCTTGCAGTTGTAAGTTGGTGATCTGACACCAAACATCACTGTATTTTCCGAGGCCTTTATTTATTTAGTGTTTTTATGTGGATTATTTTTTTATACCAAATTGAGGTTGATTCATGGACAGTTTTGTGAATACATTAATAAATAAGAAAATAATCTCATTTCAATAGAAAGCAGAAAGATATAATAGTAAGGGAAATATTTATACTTGACCTTTAGCTGTATCAGAAAGTAATAAGCTACTGCCTTTATAGCTGTTACTATTGAAATATTTTGATCTGAAGTGCCCGTAAAGGTTAATGTGCTTTCCTGTTTCCTTTCCCTTTTTTATTTTTTATCTTTGAGTATCAATCAATTCTATTTGGTACTTCTCAGTTTTCAAAAGTGAAACAAAGCACCTCTGTATTCTTTTCCTGCTTGACGTTCTTGGCTTGTGTAAATCAGCATTTCCTTGAGCTTAGGAAAGGGAAGCATGTTCATGTAGTGTCTGTGGACACATGGATTCACTGGCTACTCTGTAGTCCTGTAATATTTTACTGTCTTTGCTGCAGTTCTGTAGAGCAACTATGCAATGCCATGAAGGAGGAACAAGACAAATGCTTTAATTTTTGTTCTTCTGCTAGCTATCTATATATGTAAAAGCATTAAAGCAAAACTGGTCGTAGTTTCCCATGAATAGAACAGCTGAGCAGTTGTTCCTGTGTCCCCGTTGCTCAGGATTTTCATGAACTGGGTCATATTCTTCTTTGATAGTTTCACTTTCTGAAAACCCTACTTATTTAGTTATTCCTCGTGAAGTTGCCCATCTGTGCTTTCTCTGCCATTTATTTGTTAAAACGAAATGTTTATTATATTTAAAGAAAAAAAAAGACTTGGAAAAATCTGAACTGTGATGAATATTCAAATACATGATTGCCATATATCATTTATGTTTAATGTCTAAATAATTGCTATAATTTTAACTGTTTTGTCTGCCACAGTGTTGGTATTTTTTAATGTTCCCATAGTATAATTCTTGAATCTTTCCTCTTATATAGGTAAATTTTATTTTGGAAGTTCTGTTACTTTCTTCCCCAAATTAGGTTTCAGTATTGTCAGCATGTATGAGAGCAAAATTTAATTAAGCCTACAAATGTTACCATTTCTATTAAGTCTTAATTATTGTATTCTAATTTTTGTATCAGCACACACCACACAGTTTACTCAGCCTGGCTGGTCATACTTGCAAGTGGATGGACACTTGGAAGGAGGTGGCAGTTTTGTAGCTCTGACAGATGGCCTAGGGAACCTTACCATCATCATTGAAACTATGGTATGTGCATCAGCAATTCCCATGGACTGGAAAAGTTACAGGACATGTTTTGTTATGAAGAACATGTCTTGATTTACGTAGTTTGGTATCTGTGAATGTTCTTTGATACTTGTAGCTTTATTAGTGAGTTCACTAGAGGCTGTTTTTTCTATCTGAACTTCAAATACCTTGTTGAGACTTCCTGGAGGCGAATATATATGCCATCTTTGTCTTTTTATTACACATTAGCTTTAATTGGATGGCACACTGGGGGGAAGTTATATCATGTGCTGTCTTAAAATCTGAATTCAGAATAAAATGATTAAACTACTGCGATTGCAGCTATTAAGATAACTGAAATAAATTATTGCTCTTTTAATTTCAGTTCTGTGCTGTTTTTCATGAATGTTGCTGTATGTTGCATTCCAGTAATGTGTGTCTCTTCTGTTACATATTTTTTTCTTCAGAGTCATAATCACTCTAAATAGGTTTTTCATGAATGTTGCTGTGTGTTGCATTCCAGTAATGTGTCTCTTCTGTTACATATTTTTTTCTTCAGAGTCATAATCACTCTAAATGTATCAGGCCTCCATTGCCAAATTTCAATGTTATACCTCAGAGAGCAACTTTCTACCTCAGAGGGTCATTTGTAAGTAGATCTTCAATACATTTGATCAACCTTGTAAGATGAATTGCCATTCATAATCAAATACATTCAAGTCAGTATCACAGGTTGCAATGTCATAACTGAAATTGTAGAATTGCTGCCTCTCAGTCTAATAATCTGTATATTGAAGAAGAAATTTCATAGGACAGAAATGCAACTAAATTTTCTTCACTATATATTCCAAGGCTGGGTGCTCTGACATGCTGACGTAGTTTGTCAGGCTGGCACAGCCATGGCCTTTCTAGTTATCAGTTAATTTTCAGGGGAATAGCTGTAGTTGATCTTATACTGTAGGTTTTGTTCTTGCATTCTGTGAAGAGATATTCTGGGAATCTCCTAGTTGTTGATTTGTTTATTCTATTTTTTAATCTCGCTAAAGTATATTTCTCTCTGAAATGTGAACAATACTTTCACAGTGTAAACTGGAGGGAATCACTGTTATTTGATTCGGATGATTCCTTCTCAGAATTTGACAATTATTTATTTAGAATTTGATTTTGATTTTTTGGCAGCAATAATTGCCTTTAGGAGGAGATAATTTGGATGATACTTTTGACAATAAAATGGTTCACTTACAAAAAGTAATTGAGTGTCAATTTGGATACACAGCTCCCTTTTAGGGAAGTATCAGATGGCTTATCCAAATCAAGCTCTAGGTCGCTTGCTTTGTTGTTGATGTTGGTAACTAAAAAGAAGTTATAGGGGTTAGGTGTGATTAAAATCTGATAACTAATGTAGTTGGTATGCTGTAGTATTGCAGAAGGATGGAGACATGTCAGCAAAATACTTTGATCAAAAATTAAAACCAAAAACTAGCAACTAGATTGAAGGTCTCATAAAAGTGAAACTAGTGGGATATTATTTCAGTCTGGTTACATCTTGGAAGGGAGCTTGTATCCAAGGTGTATTGTTGATGATAGAGAAGCTAAAGATTGTCTCCATGTTTGAAGTGCTTTCTGTCTTTATAAGCAACATTAGGACATGTTAGGGCATTGCCTTATTGATGTATAGTCTATAAAAATGTAAGGCATATGTGATGATTAGATGAATAAAGTTGTAGCCTCTAATGAGATCAACACCTTTAAAGTAACAAAAATTAGACACCCTTAGAGGACTGGTATTTCTCTGGTATTCAAGGTTGTTTATTTTGCTGTTGTTGTGTTTTAAATTGTATGGTGTGTTCCATTGTAGTATATGGTGGAAACCCTTCAAGTATGGCATTCCAGACTTGATTTTGAATCTGGAAAGTCCAGTCTTTTCCAGCAACTCAATCCTTTACAGGTAAGTTGATCAGTTTTAATTATCCGTCTCTCTGCAGTTTCAGGTGTGTCTTCCCTCTTTGGTGAAACTTCTCAACTTTAATGCTTAAGTTGCATATTTAGGGTGTGTTTTAAAGTTGTTTGACTGATGTACACTGGCTGTGTACAAGCATACCTGGAGGTATAACGAGTTTGGGTAAAAGGAGTTTTAAAAATAGCCCAGAGATATTTAAATGCTGAGGCAAGAAGATGGGTTTTTTCCTTAAATCGGGACTTCAGAGGATCTTCTTTATTTTAGGAGCTTGAGTATGTTGTCATTTATTTGTTAAATTTTGCAGCTTGAGCTTTCTTCAATTTCAGGTATGGAAGGGAAGATTTTCTATAGACCTAAATGTGGATGAAGTCTACACTTTAACCACACTCAAGACAGGATGGAAATGTGGTTACCCAGAGCCTCCTCCTCCTCAGCCCTTTCCTTGCATTTACAGTGATGATTTCAACATCCGTAAGCCAGAATTCTCTTATCCCAAAACTTCATTCACACACAGATATAATTGTAATGTAGGAGGGCAGTAAGTTATGTTATTTGAGTCATCTACATGAGGTAACCTGAAGATCTATTTTGTTTTTGTTTATTTATACCTGTGTTTCCAACAACTTACACCTGCATGAGTGGACACCTTATGCTTGCAATAGCATTTATTTAATGTAATGTTTTATCTGGTGTTCATGCAAAACCAGTGTCTGCTTAAAAACTTCCATTTTGGGGACTGCTTTGATATAGCAAGTCAAAAATATGGAGAAAATTTTCAGGGGAAATTTCTGAAAACAAGTACATCGAAGAAAAATGTTTTAGAGTTGATGTGTATTTTATTTTCTGAACAGGTAACCCACCTTTCAGTGAAGCCCCAAATTTTGCAGATCAGACAGGTGTATTTGAATACTTTGTAAATGCTTCTGACCCAGGAGATCATGTGTTCACACTCCGCCAGGTGGTGGTTCAGCGGCCCATCACTTGGGTTTCTGATGCAGACCAGACCATCAGTGTCATAGGAAATTTTAAGTGGTATGTAAATACTGTTTTGTAGTGACATTTGGGGAAATGTCCTCCTCTTCAGTGTGAGTAATGATCAGTTGATTTGTCTCAAGCCTCATTTCTCTTGGACAGAGGGCTTTTGCCTTCAGATTCTCTGTAGACATGTAGGAATGATGATTCAGGCACTTCTAAAAGTCATTGAGCCCTGCTCAGGGTCAAAGGTCAACTGTGTCTGTCTAAATAACTCCTAAAGAATGGGGAGTCCACCACATTTCATGATTGTTTAGCCTAATGCTACACTGTCTTAGAATGGCTTTTTTTTGCTTATGTCCTTCTGGGCATATTTGTTCAAGCTAATTTTTTACACTAATGGATCTGAGTTGGCATACTAGAAACACCAATGTGTGCCCTGAGTTTCTTTTTCCTTAAATTGGATCAAGAAAATTAATTTTGAATTACTGTATTTTGAGTTATTTGTTAGGAGTTTGATCAGTCTCATAACTCTCAGACTATTTCATTCATAATTCAATTGTATTTGTTGCAGACTGCCATCTTCTGAGCAGTTCCTAGAATTGTGTGGATTTGATGCCAATCCTACTTCAACCACTTTTATTTCTGGGTGAAAGTAGCTGAGGTTTACTGCTTTGATTAAAGTATGGTTACAATTGTAATTCTTTCTAGGAGCTAAAAAATTGCTAGCAGCTACAATGATGATAATTCAGAATCAAGCAGCATATTTTAGAATAATGTTTATTTAAAATTAATAAGCATTTGGGAAAGACCATGTTAACAATTTATGATTTTAATAGTAATAATAAACTTCATGCTCAAAACTTTCTTTTCTGCTTAGAGGCCTAGCCTAAATTCTTTTGATACATCCCTTAAAATGGCCATTTTGTCAGGTTTTTTTTTTCACTTTAATTAGATCATTGATCTGGCAAATGCTTTTTCAGAACTTACTTCACACTTCTAAGTTCAGGTCTAGAGATGTGATTGAATTACGTTGATCCAAAACCTGGAAGAATACCACCCTCTTGTACTTGAAGGTTGTTCTTCTGTTTTGTAGCCCTCTGTTAAGAAAAGTCTCATATTATCCCTATAATGAACTTTCCCTCATTGAGTAAATTATACTCAGTCATTCCTAGAACAGTTACATAGGACCTATTTTTAAATTACTGTACTGAGATTCCTAAAAACTTCTATTATTTTGTTTTGGTTCAGTTTCTGTCTGTGACTTCATCTTGCTTTCAAAACCAAGCTTGCTTCCTGAATATTCAGTTTATTATTCAGGTTTTACTGGTCTGTAACGTTTTGTAATGCTAGTCCTCAATTTCAGGCCCTCAAGTTTGTTTGTTTCATCCTCAGTTTAACACTCAGCTTATCCCTGCAGATATTTTCAACAATGAACACCTTCTATTGAAATTCTGAGCCAATCTTGCATTAAATTTTTCTGTAGGATGATACTTTACTTCAGTTATCAATAGAAATTTATCATTATTCAATTTCAGGATTGTTCAGTTGGTTTTAGTTTTAAACTTGTGCATGTGAAAGCTTTTTGCTCTCTTATCTTGAATTTGTTGGTGTTTTCCTCTGATGGTTTTATTGAATGTGGATATATTCTGAAAGTATTACTATGTAATTATTGCTGTATTGCTTTGAGTCTCTTTATAATGGCATAAGGGAAATGTGGGGGTCTCTTTTTTGATAAATGGGGAGGCAAGAAAGTAATCTTTTTTGTGTAATGACTATATATTCAAGAATCTGGAGCATTACGTTAGAATGAAAACTCAGGTCGTTCTTGCTACTATGTTAGAGGTGAGAAGAAAAGTTGCTAGAATAGATGTTCTCTGATTCAGTTATCAGCTGAACTGCTGTCACAGAGAGTCTTTTATTCTGTAAATAATTAGAGATAATTATTACTTCTTAATTAAGTGACCTTGTGGCTGTATCTGTATTACAAGTGCTTTCAGACATGGGATGTAGATCCCTTAATAGAGGGAAAGAATTTTTATGGTTAAGAGCCTTGCAGCTCTGAGGAGGAGGAAGTTGTGTAAATTTTCTGGGTGCTATTTGATGGTTCTGGTATTTGCTTTATTCTTCTTTACAGCTCTCATTGCATGCATAACGCAGTGCTTTACTGTTGAGCTGGAGTGTAGTCTCAGGAAATCAAATAATTTCTAATACTGCCCACTCAAAAAAATTGATTCCTTCCTTGTTAAAACACTAATGTTCTCTTACAGGGTAAACATGACAGTCACTTGTGACATCTACATAGAAAAACCTCGTGATGGAGGCGTGTTTATTGCAGGAAGAGTTGACAATGGTGGGATATACGTGCGAGATTCCAAAGGAGTTTTCTTCTGGGTTTTTGCAGATGGCACATACAGAGTCACTAGTGACCTAGGTAAGCAGTTCTTTGCAAAAGGGGATGCTGGCATATGGACATGTCATTTTGATAACTTTGATAAAAACAGGTGACATTCAGATTTTATAGTTCATTTGTCATTACTGTGAATTTAACCCGTTGGTTCTAATGATGGCCGTTTTTAATATGTGGAGAAAGCATCTGAAGGCTACTGGCTGGCCCATTTGTCAGGCTTAGCTTTCTGAAGTTTTTGTTTTTTCACTAACAAAGTCTGTTTTACACTAGCAAATATGAACTATTTTGCTTTTTATAAATACTCTGATACAATATTAATTCCAGAAAGATTTGACCTGTGTTCTTAAACTATGCATGAAAAAAAAATCCCGATTGACATGAAATGGCTTTTGTTAGAGAGCAGTTCAAGTCACTGTACTTCCATCTGGCTTAAGTGATGATTGTAAGTGGCCTCCTGTTTCCTCAAATTATTCATCCTCCTGTTAGTGTAACTCAGTGGAGTGAGCACATGTTCTACTTGTGATGCTAACATTCATGTGTGTTCATCTCTAGAGCACTTGACCGGCACTGGCCTATTTAGTTGTTTAAATGCATTTCCTATCACTTCAGGAGTATAAATTAAAATTTTCAATACTTTCTGATAAGTCAAGTGTAGCTTCTATATGTACAGTATATCTGATAAAATATATTTTGTGTGTGTGTGTCTATTCCTTTCCATTTCTACCATAGACGGGTAGCATAAGAAAGGTTTTATGTAGCTTCTCTTAACATATCAATGCTCCCTAGAGAAACTTTGCAATGTATAATTCCATAAAAACTCTCAGCTGTATGGAAATACATACTTGTGTTTAGGATCCACTCAATTTTTTATTTGTAATAAGACCTAGCAACTTTACCTGATTAGTTTCTCAGGCTATCAGAAGTCATTTTTCCTAAATGAAATGAGTGGATTTTGATCAACCACCTCATTATTTCAGGCTGAGACTCTTGTTACACAATATGATAATTTTTTCTGTACAGCTATTTTCAGTCATCTTTATATTTTTCTAGAAGGGAGCCTGAATGTTAAATTATCTTGCTGTAAAAACTGTCTACTAAATAAATGAAGACTTGTAGCACAATTTTTTTCAGGTCTTTGTTTTCCCTCCAGGTGTCAATCACACCCCATTTTTGCTTAGCTTAAGTTTTGGGTAGAACTAAGCAACATCATAGTGTGGCAACTGAAACCCTGTGATTTTAAAATAGTTACAAACAATAAATAAACAAGAAGATCTATAGAATGAGCAGAGCTACTGTCACACTTGTGAACCTATACTCTCTGTCTTCTAAATAAATGAAGACTTGTAGCACTTAATTTTTTTCAGGTCTTTGTTTTCCCTCCAGGTGTCAATCACACCCCATTTTTGCTTAGCTTAAGTTTTGGGTAGAACTAAGCAACATCATAGTGTGGCAACTGAAACCCTGTGATTTTAAAATAGTTACAAACAATAAATAAACAAGAAGATCTATAGAATGAGCAGAGCTACTGTCACACTTGTGAACCTATACTCTCCATACAGTGAATCCTTATCTCATGTCAAATTGCTGAGAGCATTGAGGATTTCAGTGAGAAAGCAGTTCTGGCAAAGCAGGAGAATGTACTGATGATGCAGAGTCCAGGTTTGCATATTAAGCTTTCCATACTGCAACTGAAATTGTTAAAATGTCAATCCTGAACACTTCTGAAAAATAGATATTATTATCCTTTCGCTAGCTTGGTATTTATCAGTTTCAGCAAAGAGGTGAAGTAACACTTTGCTAACTTAGCTTTGTTTTGCAGCTGGAAGAGAAATATTAATGAAAGGACTTGCTGGTGTCCGGGATAACGCATGGCACACACTTACTCTCAACATTCAGGTAAGGACACAGGCAAAAAGCTAGAAAACCAGTTATGAAACTTCCAGTCCTAAATGGTTTAGACAAAGCTGTGCTATACTGTTGATGATGTACTTGCATTAGTTTGCCCTATCAAAACTAGAAACAATGTCTGTTACATGAACCAATATTAAAATGCCATACCAAGTTCTGCTGCCTGTATTTGAAAGACATCCTGAGAATCTGTAGAAGGTATGGAAAATAACTGGAAAGCTGTATTGAAAGCTGGAGGTAGAAGGGCAGAGAGGCAAGTCTCTTATTTTCTGGAAAGGTGATGGCCTGGCTTCCTGTTCTTAAGATGGTCAGTAAAATACTAAATACTAGCCTGTGTTACAAATCTGTTTCCCACCAATTCCCTTTGTAGGCTAAGGCCTTGTATGTGGAGCCAGTAAAGGACTGCAAACTCACATTCGCTGAGTTCCTTCTCTACTGTATTGGAAGAGCACAGGCATTGTGTTACTGTGTAAATGGGCTGCAGTTAATGAGAAGCCTGTCTGCATTTTTTTCCTTCCTTCCCACTTCACCTTTTTACCCATAATGACTTTGGGAGGAAAGCAGCCCCAAACTGTACTTTAAATATCTCTGTGTGCTTTGATGGGTGTGTCATTGTGCAAGTATCTAAAAGGCTTTAAGTTCCTCTTCTGAGTGCCTTATCCCTTTGTCTAATGTAACCTTTGCAACTCCAGCTGGCTTGAAATGTGGGGAATCCTGGCGGGGGATTTTTACTACTGAAGGTAACTCTTAAAATTACGGACTGAGTCCCTCATGCTAGAATGCCACTGAGTATTAGAATCTGTTTTTTGTCTCTTGTACTGTCACATTTGGAGACAAAGGACACTTGCACCTAAGGCATTCACTGAAATGAATGTAGTTTAGTCTTGGTTTTGGTACACTTACATTTGTGACAGTGTTTGCCATCTGTAAAAGGGGCCAAGACATTTGGTTACTGAAGATGAGCATTAATCACTTAAAACTCAAAACAGTGTTGGTAGTTTAAAACGACAATGTTTCAAACTTCCATCTGTGTTGTTATTTTGTACCTAGTACATCTTTGAGGTAATGATCGAAGTACAGAGCCATCTTTAAATAATTCTCACACCAACACCTTGAAAGGCATTCTTTGCTTTTACCTGTGTCTATAATTGTCTTTCAGATTTAGAAATACAAGTAAACTGAAATACTTTTTTCTAAATACTGTTTTTTCTAAATACTGTTAAGTGGAACACATAACAGATAAATTGTAATTTTTCTTGAAATTGCTTTTAATTTCCACATCTTGAAGTGGCATTAGTGGTACTTGAAAGTTCTGCTGTCTCCTCTTTATTTCTGCTTAATTACTAAATTACATCTTTCTTTAGTTTTGACTTCTGCCTCATTCTGCAGAAGCAGTGCCAAGTGTATCACATAACCTTAAGAAAGGTGGCCTATTTTGAAAGAGTCTGATACAAGGAAGAGGAAAACCAGTTTACCATTCAGGTTCTACACTGAGTTAGTAAAGCTGTGAGTAGGAGAAGAGGAGCATTTATTGTGTTCACTGTAAAGCATTAGATCTATTCCACAGAGCTGATAGACAGCAGAGGATTCTATGCAAAATTTAGATGCATCTCTGCATGAAAAAATGTGTGAAATGTAGTTGAAAGTGGACTTGACATCCTTCTGCTTTGTCTTGTCTCCCATGTGAGCAGGCTCTGGATTTTACAAAGCTAACATTTTTCCTTTTTTTTCAGGGCAACTCGGCCTCAGGACTGTTGAATGGTTATCCACTCTGGGAGAATGTCACCATTTCCAACCCGAAGAATGGCTGGGCTGCCCTTGGAACTCGCTCCTTTGAGTTTGCACAGTTTGACAACTTTCATGTTGAAGCTTGCTGAGGTGGCTTTGGCATTTAGAGAACCTGGTTCTCATGTTACTTTGAATAAGAGCCAAGTCAAACTGGAGGAGAGCTGAGTGCTGAACTGTGACTGATCTCTTGGCAAAGAGTCTGGATTCGGTCCGTGGTATTTGTTAAAGGTTTACTTGAGTAGATATCATCATGATTGTAGTTTTATCCCCTATTGCTGTGGGATTTTTGCCCTTCTGTTTTTGGGGGTAAATTTTAGTTCAAGGTAATGATAAAAACAAATTCTTGGATTGAAATATCTTTTAATAACAACATCTTAACTTACCAGCTCACTTCTAAAATAACTTTAGAAGTTAACAGAAGACAGATTCATCCTAAGCTGCATTTTTAACACTTCCTCTACTACGTCCATTGCTTTCACTGTGAAAGAAAAAATTAAATGCCAGTAAGCCTTATGAGCCAGTGGGCCCCATACTTTTGTAGGTCTATCATTCTCAAATTTCATTTGGGTAAAGTACCTAGATTTCCTATAGTAAAAAAAAGATGTTTTGTCTCTTTTTTTGCTACAGTCTGTGACTAGACATTGCAGTTCTCCAAACGCATTTGATTATATCTTTCAACTTTTGTTGCCAGCCCTAAAATATATCCCTATTTTCAGTGGAATGGAAATGTGCCTTATGACTGATCAGGGAGTCCAGCATGTGGCTTATTTCTAATCTACCTCCTCTTTCCACTGAAAGGGTTGAAATGGATGAAAAGATACCATAACTTACAGTTTGTTGATGATAATATTGTGGGGTTTTTTGCATAGTACAAAGAGTGAAAACATTGCATCATGGATATTTCCATGTCAGGTCACATGTGGAAACTGGCCTTTTGTTCCTAGAAACTTGGGCAAACATCTCTCTCTTTTGATGGATTTAGAGCTTTGAATAGGAAATAATTGAAGCCTAACAATGATATTTAGTTTATTATATTACTGTGGCATAGAGGAGATATGAATACTATCACTTCCTGGTATAAAAGAAGTTAAAAAAAAAGCAGTCTTTGTCTTTAAGGGTTTGCAATGTCATTACAAGGTAAGTAACAGTTGGTCGACACAGAGGGAATTATTTAGTGTGCCAAGCAGTGGTAATGACACAAAAGTATCTGTTTTTAAACTTTTCCTAGGTATCATGGGATGAAGTTCAGAGGATAATTCAGATCTTTGGGAATGGAGGGATTCTCTTTAGCTGTTGCTTCATTTTATTTTTTCCCCAAGCTTCTGTGTTATTAAAGAAGCAATTAATTGAGGACATGAGGTACTGAATGGGTTTTTCCTCACAAGCATTTGCAGTTCAATTTGCTCCAGAATTTTTCTTGTTGTTGGTCAGTTGAAGGAAGATGATGTCCATTCCCTTAATGAAATGTGCTTCCTGTGTCCATTTACTTTTCACATTCACATCCTGTTTAATTGACAAGCAAGTTGTTCCACATACTTGACAGAGCTCTAATAGCTGTATGAGGCCATTTGTAGCAGGCAACATCTGGAGAATAGGAGTGCAGTGTACTTTGATTTATAGAGATTATTCTTCTGATCCCCTTTGTTTTGAAGGCTGATTCCAATAATTGTTAACTTGAGTCTTTGAAGCTGTCATCTAATATAAAGTTAATGTTATACAGATCATTCCTGGAAAATTTTTACAATGTTGATCTTCCATTTTCATTTTTGGAGAAGAGTTCTTAAAATTCCATCTCTACTAAGTAAAAATGTTATGTCTTTTAGCTGTTATATTGATACTACTTATTCATACTTGGAAATTTCATACATGCCAGTAATGTTGAAAAATTATTTAAACCACTGAACTTTAAAACTCTTTAAAAAAGAGTTCTTTTTAAAAAAAGAGTTCTTTAAAAAAGACTTCCAAATGTTAAGTAACTGTTTACATAAGTGGGTGAAAAATGAAAGGCAATTTTCCATGTAATTTTCAAGTATGGATGCAGATCTGTTCATTACTTGCTTGATTTCCTAAGGAATGCCACTGGTCACTCCACATGTGAAAGAATCTAATTTTAGGTTCTCATATTGAAGTAATATGAGTATAATAATCTCAGAATAAATTTATTTTAGCTGTGATGGATTTCTGTATTTGGATGCTTCTTGGAGACTTCCTCGTAGCTTCTGTGGCTACAAGCAGAGAGATCAGCAATGATGCAGTTATTCCAAAGGAGCTGTCCATTTTTTTAACTTTCTATTGCACTAGTGTAATAAACTGTACTGTTATATTGTGTACTGAACACTACGTATTTTATCACTGGAAATGTTGATTTTTTTTCCCCCCTAATCTTAATTTACAATGTTGGAGGATTAAAGTGTTATGAACAGAGTAAGTGATTTAATGGTGACATAATGTTATTCATCTTTATATGTCTGTAATTCTTCACCCTTCAGTAGACTGTAATATGTTTGGCAATAACAAGCTGTCGGGTTTTTCACTGAGGGGTGGATTTATGTTGTTGATTATAAATGCTAATCATTCCAAATGGACAAATAAAATGCTTAAAAATGCTTTATTTGTGCAGAATGCTTCTGTAAAATGGGTCTTGTTTTTCTCCAGCAAGAAAGCTGACAATTTTTCTATTGTGATTTCTGATAAATATGCTTGACATTAACTTAATTGGATTGGAAGAATATAGCCAACCAGTCCTTATTAAAAATATCACAAAATCCATTTGCATTAGGACTTGTGCTATTGATAAAATGATTTTCTTATAGCATTCAATATACATTTTGCTTCTTTCTGTTTTTTGATTTGGATTTTTTTTTAATTTATTGAAGGGAATTAAATCGTATTTGAGGACCAGTGATGCAAAACTGCTGAGTACTAAGGTCATGTGAGATTTAGCTGAAAGTCAGTTTGTAGGTTTGGAAACAGGCAGTGTTGTAAGGATGTACTTCAATGGTTTAGAGGCTTCTTTATTTTGAATATCCTTTTGAATCTATCTTCAAACACAATATTTTTATTTTTTTAAGCTAAACTTTAGGGTTTGATTTTTCAAGGAAGGGAGAAATTCCATAGAGCTAGTTCTGTTTCCCAGTCCACTGTGCCCATAGATATGAGTTACCCTGGAATTGTTGCCTTCCAGTAACCAGCTATGTGCTACCACCTATGCAGACACTGCATCACAATCAATTCTGTCCCTTCTCTGCCACCATCTTTGAGGTTAGACTTGAGCAGTTCTTGAGACTTTTAGACTCATACAAAACACTAGGACTCCTTTGCTTTAAAATTACAGGAGACTCTTTAGGCTCCCTTTGCAGCTGCCTCCTTGTATCTCTGTATCAAAACTAAATTTTTACTTCCAGATTTGATTTGGAGTGGTAGTGGTTTGCTTTTGCCTTATAGAATCAGTTTTACTGCATTGTAGCAGCAGTTTGTTTTCACTTAATAAATTTTCATTGGTTTACCTGAAGTTTCTGTCCAGAGTCCACTTTCTGGAGTGGGGTGGGTATTATGAATTTAACCATCATAATTATTATGGCTGTCTTATTTCAGCAGTACGGGCAAAGAGGACAGTGCTTGGAGACTTTATTATCCTCTCTTTGATGTTTTGGTCTTTTTGTTTGGTTTTTGCGTGGTTTTTTTGTTGGTTTGGGTTTTTTTCTCATTTGTGCTTTGGTTTTGTTTTTGTTTGTTTTTAAGCCCTTTGTAAGTACTACATTCGTACAAGTCTAGCACATGCTGGGAGTGGCAGACAGGCAGGTTGTAAAAACCCTTCAGTTTTGAAGACTTCCTAGGCTGGTAGTGGAATCATCAGGTAGCTTTTTTAGAATTCTGAGAGTAGTGTGCATTGAAAAGTCAGCATGAGCAAATTCCTCTTGCTGTGCTCCTTCCATTTATGCCCAAGTGTCGCTGAAACAATAAGGGTTGTGTTTCTAGAACTTGTGTTCTAAAAAAAGCCCAAAAGGCCCACTAGTAATTGAGCGGAGGAAAATGTGTGCTGCAGCAGTGTTGCCAAGCTTTTGCTCTCTGCCAAGATACTTCTCTGCGGTTTTCAGAGTGGCTAATACAAACAACTGTGAAACTCTGTTTTTCCCCTCAAGGAATTATGTTTGGATAAGGTTAGAAACAGACACACAGCCCAACACCAGTTTTGTCAGGGGCTCCTGGTAACTTGCAATGAGTGCATTAAACCTGACTCTTGCTTTTGTGTACCCCAGGCTAAACCTACACATGTCTCTGGAAAGCAGAGATGAAAGTATCCTAAAAGTATTTGTTGGAGTGCTGACTTTTAAATGTTTTTAAATGCCTTTTCTGTTGGTATCAACCGTACCTGACTGAGTTTGACTTCACTTAGTGCAGGAAAACAGTAATCGTTGGTTTTACTGTGCTCACAGAGGCATTTCAATGATATTACTGTCGTAGGGGGTGTCTCAGTACAGAATTAACTTGAGGGTATGTAAGAGGAAACTGAACCTAGCATGTAATATTATTCTAATGTTATGCAGTCATGGTCTGGGAATCCTTCATGGTCTAAAACAGAGGAGGTAACAACAAAATGACAATTAAAAAAACCAAACCAGCATCACTAACAAAAAAACCCCAAACTGCACACATGTTCCCAAATAGTACAGGGAAAAGCAAAGAACAATCTGGATTAAACTTGGCTTCCTTTGTTCAGTTACTGCTGGAAAATACAGCCATCTTCTTTGCTGTTTTCCATGGACAATGATTCAGTTAAAATGCCTACAGAAAATACGAGACTTCATTGTTGCTAAAAAGCAAATGTTTAGCTAATTTTAGGCACTGCTGTTTCCCAAAAGCAGTAGAATCAGAAAAGGCTAGAAAACATGAGAACAGGTTATGCAGCTGAAAGGCATGTCTGTGATGTGTGACTCAGTCCCTCTCCTGGTTGCAGAAGATTCCTTCCCTGTGAGCATAGCAGCAGAGCTTTATGGAAAATAGGAGGCAAATATTTCTCTGTTACTGCCACTCCCCTTCCAAATTTTTGGGAAGTTTTGTGTACCTTGGCCAATCTGAGATCACACCGAAGCGACTGTAGCCTCTTGGCTTGATTATACAGTGTTAACAGAGTCATTTGAAAGAGCAGCTGGCAATGGCTAGCATCAAATCCTGTTAAGGATGTCCATATTCCCTTCTGATGTGATTGCTCTTGTAGTGGGAGCAGTAAATGATAGCATTCACTGGCAGGAGATCAGGCAGGTTTTGTGCTGAACGGAGGTGCACACAAATGGCTCAGTGCAGAGATCTGTAAAGCTTCACTGGGATTCACAAAGTCTCTGGCATAAGCTGCCTATTTCCTGTTCAGTCTAAGATTGCTGTTTAATGGTTCAGCTTAATTTCTTTTTCTTGCAGCCCAGCTGATACCTTATCCTAAATAAATTGTTTTGCCAGCATTATACAAAACATGCTCAGTGCACAGGGCAAGCCTGTACCAGAAGAAGGAGGCTGAGAATGCCCTGTTGATCATTCAGCCCATCTCCTTGCTAGATAGACTGTACATTTTTAGGACATGCCTTACTAGACTGCTGAGACAAAAGGGTAACAGAGCTCCCACTTGTCTTTTATAGGTGGCTATTCTATGGATTTTCAGACAAACAGCATCATTGCTTTTGTTTATGATCTGTGTAAGTGATGCAGGGAGATCAACTTTTCTTCCCAATTCATGAGAAGAAGGTTGATACTGCAGAATGTATCTTGTGTTTATGTAGCTCTAGTATTTACTAGCAGGATGAATTGAGCTCTTCATGAAACACCTGTGATTCTACTTTGAGAGTCAAAATACTTTGATTAGATTAATGCTTTCATGCAGATACATCAACTGTGAACATCCAGTTCCCAAGCCAAAGGAGTTTCTCTTATGGTGTTGCTTCACTTAATTTCAAATAGCACAGTATGATATAAATATTTTTTCCTAAATATTAGTTCTAGTAAATCTCCACAACAAAAATTCCAGCCTCCCCATATGTAAATACATTCAGTACATACCTTGGTTTCGTTTTCCTTTCCTGATTGTACTTTTAAAATGGTGAATACTTAGGGATATCTGTCACCCTTCTCAAACAAATACTTAGCCACATGAAAATGCAACAATTTCATCTTTTAAACAACTGAATCTTTTTACCTCTGTATTGCAGCTAACTATATTTTTCTTGTGCTGAATCTGAATATTGTCACATCACTTGATTTTTATAATAAATAATATTAATCTAAACAGGCTCTGCAAGGAGGCAGCAAAAGGACTATGTAGAAATGTAAAATTTCTTGTGGTGTTTTAGCCCCCAAGGCACAAGTGACCTTACCTGTATTTTTCCTTTCTCCCACACATTCTCCATGCCATATAGGGTGGCTACCTGGGTAGCATCCTCAATGATTGAAGGTGGCTGTTTTTCTTGTGTGTGGCATGGTGACTTGGGAATGATAAATGCCAGTCTTCTGTACCTTCTCTTTGGAACTCAACCTCCTGGAAGTCAGGCAGGTTTTTGATCACTTTTATTATACATTCAGGCACTGGAATATAATAGTCTGGAAGATTTTATTTCTTTTCCTTTGAACCATGTTTCTTTGTTGTTTTTAATAATTTTTTTTTCCTTCAAGAAGCGTGATGCAGAAAGGGTACTTGGTTGCTTTTATTACATCAAAACCTGATTACAGTAATTCTGTGTTCAGCAACTTCCCTGATGAGCCTATACTGCATCCTCAGATGCCTTTGAAGACTTCCGCCGGGGTTAGTTATCTGTACTAAGTCATTTCAGAAGGCAGTTTCTCTGAAAAAGTATCTAGTTTCCTCTTCAGTAACATACTAAGTATGGTAGTGTTTTCTGCCCTTTGATCTCTTAGCATTACATTTGGTAGCTGAAATATCTTTTTCTCCCCATTTCTACCACTTCAAAAGATGGTGGGCCACATCCCACTTTAATCTACAAGGACCTCAATACCATGCAAATATTATCAGTGTCCTCTACTGCAAATGAGAGAAATATGTGTTGCATACTGCGTTTTTCTGGTGCTCTAGAGAGTCTCTGTTTAGGTTTCTCTCTGTTGGGACAGTGTTCTGAAATCAGAAAACAATGAATTTTCATATTAACCTGTACTTACATTTCAAAATGTACTCTTCTGGTTTCAAGTGTTTATGGAGCATTGTGTGTAGTACTCCTACTATCTGGATTTTTGTATAACTTTAAATTCACTACAGTTACCAGAGCTTTAAATGAGTGGTGGATGGAGGTCTGGAGTACATCCTAACTTTGTTCCTGGGATCATTTCACATGCCTCCGTTTCCTCATGAGGAAGCACACAGGGATACCATGGCACTGAGCACTCTTGCTTAGTAGACCTAAGTATAAACAGAGCTGCTGCTTTAACTTCCTTCCTCCAAAGACTTAATGCATTAGTGGGGACAACATTGATTAACAGCTCAGTGTCACTTCCTGTTGAAATTGTGAGGAAATGACTGCCCTGAGAACAAGCCACTGCGGGTGTGCCTCTGCTTGTGTTAGAGGTGGTAGGGGACTGAAAGGGATGACTTTATTTTCATTTGGATGAAAA